CCCTCTTCCCCTCCTCCTCCCCTCTTCCTCCCCCATTCTTTCCTTATTCTCTCCATCTTCTCGCTTCCCCTTCCCCTCTCTTCCCCTCACGCCTCCTTTCCCCCAACTTCATCTCCTCCTCCCCTTCCCCTCCCTCTTCCTGTCCCCCATGCTGGGCTAAGAGGTGAGAAGTAATGGTGGGGTCAGGCATGTAGGAAAGAGACAAGATCATGGGAGGAGGAAGGGCAAATGTCCCAAACCCGTAGAGATGGCCCAGCCACTGAGTGTGGCTCCAAGAGCAGGAGCAGCTCAGGGAAGGGGGTCACACTCTCTAGGGCAGGGAGAGCTCCAGGAAGGCGGCCATACTCTCTAGGGCAGGAGGAGCTGACAGGGGTGGCCACACTGGGCAGGCCCACAGCTTACAGGCTTTCTTGGCCAGGCAGGATGAGTGCCCTGTCCCTGCTTGCCCTTGGGCATGCCCCATCCCCAGATTCCCAGGGCATCTGGGTGCTCGCAGGGCCCATGGGCGCATCCTCATTTGGCCCCACTGCCCCAGCTGCCAACAGCACCCTCTGTAAGTCAGCTCAGGTCGGCCTCGGGCAAGCTGTGCCCTGTGTCCCCGGGCACTGGGGCGGGGGATGAACAGGGAGGTGGCCATGGCAGGCACGGGTTCCCCCGCCCTCAGCCACTATGGGAACCAAGAACAGGTCCACAGGGGGCTGGGTCCTCTTGCCGGTTGGGCGCTGGCTGGCCTCGGAGCAGGCAGGGCCCGTGTCTGGTGTCTTGAGGCTCCTGTTGGGCACGTGTCTTCCGGGTGGGGTGGCCCTGAGGGCCCATCCCCCTCCAGGCTGACCCTCAAGACCCCTCAGCCCTCGACGACAAGCCGGTCCCTCCCCCACTGCTGCCACTGGGGTGTCCCTGGAGCCACGCTGCCCCCTGCTGGTGCCTGCAGGTGTGACGGGGTGCAGTGCCGGCACCCTCTCCTGCCATCAGGGCCGCGCACCCACCCCCAGGGTCTGTGGCCAAGCCCAGGTGAGGCTGGTTGTCAACTGGGACTTTTCCCCTGGGGGCTTAGCAAGGGTCACACAGGAAACCAGGTGGGCTCTCCAGACTGGGCCTGGGGTCACCGGCAGCTGGGCAGGATGGGACCCCTCCCAGAGATCAGGGACAGCCTGGAGAGGGGCCTGGGCTGGCCTGCCATCCCAGGACCCCCTCCCCCTCCCCATGCCCTGTAGACCAGGGCTACCGTTGGGCCCCCAGCTCCTGCTGTCCCAGGGCCAGCAGTGGCCTGTGGGGGTCTGCATCCTGAGTCCACGGCCCCCCATCAGCTGTGCCCATCTGTCTGTCCCTGTGTTTTGAAAGCCCAAGACTTTAAAATCAGAGGAGTCAAGTGGCTCTTCCTCTGTGCTTGGGGGTGTCATGGGCTCCTGAAAAAAACACACCCCCAGACCTGATGGGGGCCGCCGAGACGACCCACACTGCACCCCATGGCAGCCAGGGGGTGGGCAGCAGCCTGGTCATGGGGACAGCACCAGCCCAAGCCCACGTGGGCCCCAGCCACAGCCAGGACAAGCCACAGCCCTGGATCCTCCCCACCCATGATCCAGCCTCACCCCACCTCCTCCATCTCTGGGAGGCACTTGAGGACCCGGCCCCTCTGTAGGATCCCACCTGGCCCAGGCCACAGACCCCATACAGTGGCACCCAACCCTCCAGATGACCCTCCTGCCCCTCATAGCCCCCCACAGGGGGACCCTCCCACCCAGCTCACCCTTCACACCCCCAGTGGGCAACCTTCGCCTTATTTTGGTGCTTAGGGTGGCCTGTGCTGACAACCTGGGATGGACAGGCATAGGACATGTCAGGGTCTACATGTTGAGTGGCTGGGTGGCAGCTACATCCTGCCCTCCAGACCTCAGACCAGCAGGGCCCTGTAGCCCCCAGACCGGGCTCCCAATCAGGCCCACCAGTGAGGGCCATGCCACCTCAGCCCCCTCCAGCCCAGGACCTTCCTTGCCTGTAAGTGGGGGCACCTGGCCAAGGGAGAGACCAGGAGTGGCCCTGTTTTCTGTCCCAGTTCCTCATCTGGGGGAGAAGAAACAGGGGAAGCCAGGGTGGGAGGGCCAGGGACCTCCTCCATCCCCACGGGCTCCCCTCCCCCACATCTTACATGCCACAAGGGCCCTTCCTTGGGCGCTGGGTGGGTTGGAGGGTCAGGGTGGGAGGGGAGGGCAGGAGCCACAGGGCTGACAGCCGGAAGGTTGGAGGCTGCAGAGATACGAAAGGAGGCGGAGGCCCACAGTGGAGTCCCAGCTGGAGGCTTGGGGCATGAGAGGCGGGTCAGGCTCCCCAAGCCTGCTGGGAAAGAGGAGAGCTCCTCTGGGGTGATGTCCACACAGCCTGAAGTGGACCCCCACCCCTATGGACTGGGTGACTCCTGAAGCCAGCCCCTGCCCACCCCCTCCTGTGACACGAGAGGAAACTGAGACCCAAGGCCCAGAACGTGAAAGGGGTCCCTCATGGGGTACCTGACCCAAGGCCACGTCCAGCTGGGAACACGCCCACCACAGGCCCCTTCCCGCATAGGGGGCTCACCCAGAGCCCTGCCCGCTTACCCTCACCTCAGAGCCCCTGCAGGAAGGTCCTAGCTTCTGCTTCTCCCCTGCCTCAGGTGGGAGACAGAGGGTCAACAGGAGGGCAGGGGTGGAGCAGAATGAGGGGTTGTGGAGCGTGGGTCTCCCCAGGACTCTTTCTGGGAGGCTGGCTCTCCCCTCCACCTTCCACCTCACCTCACCCTAGTTCAAGGGGTGGACCCCAAAAGTCTTCAGAGCCTCCTCCACCACCAGGTTTGGGGTCCTGAGCCTCAGAGGCAGGACTGGGGTCCCTGAGGGTTCCCCATCCCCAGGGACTTCCAGACTGGACAGGGAGGGTTTCCTGTCCTGCATCTTGGAGCAGGAGTGCCAGGGACAGTCCCAACCTGAACCTCCTTCCCAGAGGGCCAAGAGCACAGGTGGGACTCACACCTGCCCACCCCACAATCTGGAGAGGAGGGGTAGCTCCGTGCCAATCCCCACCCCAGAAAGGAGTGGGCTCAGCAGCCCCCACCCTCCCACTAGGCCTGCTCAGAAGAAAGGGTCTTTCCTCCCACCCTCCCCTTCCTTATCAGGACCTTCCTTGCTGTGCTGCACTTGTGTGGGTGTCAAGTGGCCAGCATATAACCTCCCCCCCCCAAACACGCATGCACATGAGGTACTGGCGCACACACTCTTACACGCACACACACACACTCCCAGAGGGTGGGGACTTGAGTGCAGGTAGGATTGTAACCAAATAACTGCTGTATCCAGCAGGAGGGAGGAGGGGCTTCCGGCTGAGGTGGAGAGGAGGCTCCCGGAGCGCAGCATCCAACCTAGGCATTGAGGCATGAGTAGGAGCTCTGTAGGCAGCAACGGGAAGGAAGGTATCCCAGGCAGTGGGCCTCAGAGAACAAAGGGATGTCGGCGGAGGCGAGTGACGGGGAATTTGGGTGTACCGGGAGCTGTTGGAAAGGTGGGACGCGGGGGAGGAGGGAGTGGTGGAAATGGGAACACTGATGCCACAGGGTGTTGGGGTGAATGGCGTGTAAGGGAACGAGGAGGAGCAGCCGGGAGCAAGCCCTGGTGTCCTCCCAGCGTCCCAAGGTGGTTCCGACGCTCGCTTGTGGGATGCTGCGGCTTCGGGTGTCCCGGAAGTCCTCCCATCACCTGCCCCGCTCTGCACCCACAGGCCGGCGCTGGACCTGGGAGTCAGCAGGGAACAAACCCGGCCCTGGTGGGCTCTACCCAGAACGGGAGACCCTGAATAAACAGGGTCAGGAGCAAGAGGCGCCAGTGGACACGGCCCGAAGGCGCGAAGGGGGACAGCCCTGGGAACAGCCCAAAGGCCCGGAGGTCCTGGAGGTGAATAGATTCAGTCCGGTCCCCAGCCCGGCCCCCACCATGCCTTTCCCCACAGCTCCTCCTGCCCCACTCTGGACTTCTGCAGGTCCGGGCGCCTCGGGACAGCCACTTGGACCTCCTTCCGCGCCAGAGGACTCCCACCAGCGATCACTCAGTCCTCGGCCCGGCTTCTGGCCTCGCCCCACAGCACAGGGGCTGGTGGCTGGACCCCGCCTCCTGCCTACTTTTGCTGTCACTCACGTCTAGGTCCCGCCTTCGGCCCCACCCCACCCACACGCGTGCTCTCATCGGGTCCCGCCCCGTGCTCTTTTGGCCCCACCTCTCCGCACATTTACCGTAATGGACCCTGTTTTCAGCTCTGCTTCCAGGCCCGGCCCCGCCTCACCCGCTCACTGGTGTCTCGGCCTCGCGGACGCTCCTGAGGTGCCACTCAGCTCCCAGCCCAGGCCCCGCCCTCGGTCCCGTCGGAGGCCTTCCACGAGCTGTCACTCAGCCTTTGACTCCGCCCAGTCCTCACAGACTCCGCCCCTCTGACACACTCACGCCTCTCGGCCCCTCCCCGACCCGCCAGAAGCCCCGCCGCGGCCGCCCACGTGCTGTCACTCAGCCCTCGACCCCGCCCAGGCCTCCCCCGCCCCGCCTAACTCGCACATGTGTTGTCACTCAGCCCTCAGCCCCGCCCCGGCCTGCCAGAGGCCCCGCCGCGGCCGCCCGAGTGCTGTCACTCAGCCCTCGGCTCCGCCCAGGCTCCGCCCCGCCCTGCCTCTCCGCACACGTGCTGTCGTTGGCCCTAACCCGCCGCCCCGCGCACTTGCGCTGTCACTCAGCCGCGCGCTAGCTTTGTGGGGACACTGGCCCTCGCCGCTCCTGCCCCTGCTCAATGGACGCCGCGCTCCTGCTCGCCCTCGGGCTGCTGGCCCAGGTAAGGCAGGGGCACCGCAGGGTCTTCAGTGTCTCAAGTGCAGCCTGGCAAGTCTCCCCAGTTTCCCTGGCCCTGACCCCTTCGGGGGACCTGTGAGCAGAAGGACCCCTGGGTGCCTGGGCGGGGCAGCTCTCTCCAGGGCGCCATCGGTGCCGGAGTGTAACCCACCTTCACTGGACAGGAGCTGGCTCATCCCCGCAGGACTGGGGGCCATGCTGGGAACAGTCACCGGACCACCCAACAGACGGCTGTCCCTGCTCTGTGGAGAGGCCCCAGCCAGGGTCTGGGAGTTGCTAGGCTTGCAGTGGGGAGCAGGGAGTGGGGAGCAGCTGGGGACACCTCACTGGGATAGCCGGGTGCCGGGCGACCACAGGGACTCCTGACCGGGCCCGGGTGGGCACGTGGCCCTCGCTAGTCTTGGGTGGTGTCCACGTCTCCCACATTCCTGGCTAGCAGGGGCAGCTACCAGCTCTGCCTTCCAGTTCTCACACTCTGAAGCCTACTTCATTGTGGCCTGGGTGCCAGGCCCACACATACCACCCTCCAGGTGGCTGTGGTCTCCCAGGATGTCTGTCAGGCCTTTGCATTCACTAGGAGACCTTGCAGTACCTCCCAGAGGCCACTGGACTCTCTCCCCCAAATTTCTGGAGCCCTGGCCCCATGATCTCCCCAAGGTAGGAGCAAGCTGGGGTGGGCAGGAGACAACTCTGACCCCCAGGCCCATCACGGGCACTCCCTGGATGGGCCATCTCCTGCCCTAGATGGGACCTGGGAGCTGAGGGCCTCTGGGGTGAGGACGCCATTGCGCACAGCGGACGGCCTCTCACCTCCTGAGGTACCAGGCAGTGCTGAAGGACCTCACAGGGGCTCAACATCTGCAGTGGCTCTGGGGCGTCAGGCGGTCCTGGGCACGGGGAGGGGGCCACTCCTTTTCCAGTGCCCCAAGGGATTCCAGAGGCCCCTCCGATTCCCACATGCTCTCAGCGCTGGGTGGGGACTCAGATTTCAGCCCCTGGCAGCTGACCAGGCGCCGGGCCAGCTGTACCCCCCAGCAGCCATCCCGCGGGGCACCCTGGCTCCAGCCATCCCCACCCACCTTCAGGTCCCCACTGCCCCTTGGAGGCCTGGCTGCCCACATCCGGCTTGCTCTGTGTGCTGTGGTCACCCCCCCAGGCCTGCACCTCCTTGCCCTCTTCTCCAGAGAATGGCCCTCTGTGGAGCCCCAGGCCCTCACACACCGGGACTACTTGCAGCAGGCTCCACACCTCTGATGCCCCCTCCCCACCTGCTCCAGGGACAGTTAGGTCCCAACCCCGTGCTGGGGGGTAGAGTGGGAAGCTGCCTTGTGAAAACATCCCTGGGTTCAGGGCGTCTATGTGCATCAGGCCTCATGGGCTCTACTGTGGAGGGATGGGACTTGGTCCCCCCCCAAACTCCTCTCCCCCCCAAACTCCTCTTCCCCC